GCAGTGAAAGTGAAATACAGCCTTAGTGAGAACTAGCAGGCAAAGGAGGACTGCTTTGTCAGGATCACTGGTGGCTTTTGCTCTCAAAATGTGAAGAGGTGTGACTCACCACGGGGATCTGGCCCTGCTTCTGCCTCCCACTGCTGCTGGAAGCCGTCTCTCCTCTCAGGCAAGGGCAGCTGGGGAGGACTCGTCACTCGTCACCGCCCGTGACAGCCCCGGTTGCGGCAGTGCCTACAGCACGTCACGTCTCTGCCTGTGACATGGAGCCAGCCTGCACTTGCCCTGCACGCATGGGTGCCCGTAGAGCTGGATATATCGATCTGGGCAGCACTTGACCGGGTTGCTGTGAAATGAAGGAGACAACACACAAAAGGCAAATTTCAGAACTGGAAACACCTCTCCGCTCCCCAGCAGGCAGACAGGCACCAGGAAAACTGAGCAGCCCCTTCAGCCATGGCAGGAGGCTTGGCGTTCCTTGAAGCCCACGACGAGGAGACGCTGGGGATGGACCCCCTGTGCGCTGCGTCACACAGCGCCTTGCGGGTGCAAGCGCCGGTCCTGGCACAGACCTGACCTGACGTGGCCTTGGGAGGAACCGGGGCCAAGGGTGCGCTTGCAGGGATGGGAAGGGCCGAGTGGAAGTGGGTCCCATCACAAGGTGACAGCTAAGGGAAGGCAGCAAAAGCTTTTGGGGGAAGGTAGAATATCTTCTCAAAAGAGAAGGTGGCATGCCAAGTATTTAAATCCTTTGGAGAAGGTTGGGAAACTGTAGTTCAGAGAGAGCTGATCGTATTCCCCCTGCCTGGAATGCAATTTTCTGCTGAATATCTGTGCAATGAGATTCTTGGTGCTTCCCCCCACAGGTGGCCTTGCTCACACTCCCCCAGGTGTACACCCTGTGCTGGGGGACTCTCAGCACTCCTTGCGGCAGTGGGACAGAGCAACGAACATGGAAAACTGCAGCCCGCAGCTGGACTCCTTGGACAATATTCCAGGGCTCTCCCTGCCCGCAGCACGTCCTCCCCGCTGGAAGCTGCCTGGCGAGCCCCGCGGCGAGAGCACCCTCTGGGGACCAGCAGAAACAGAGGCAATGAGACCCTACGTTCCTCAGATCACTTCTTTCCATGTCGCCTTTGCATTTCAAGTGCGTTTCGTGATGGCCATCGGTGCTAGCTTACTTGCTCAGAGAGAGGACCCTGCAGGAGAGGGCCACCTCGCCACACCGCGCCCTGTTAGCACAGGACAAGCCAGCTGGGCCTCTCCAGAGAGAGCAGAACAGACCTTGGGGCACACAGAAGCCCTAGAGCTGGTAGAAAAAGCAAGGGACCAGTCGACAAAAGTCACGCAGCTCAGGGATAACAAGAGGACATGGCACGAAAGGGACTTTTCTGCGTCTAGATAGGGAGGCTGGCCACGAGGATGGGACAGCCGACGGTATCCTCCTTGCCGTTGTGGAAGGGGAACATGCCGGGGGGGACAAGTGCGGCTCCCCCCCACCGTATCAGCAGCGAGTGGCGGGTGCTCGTCCGTCGGAGCATCGCTTTAACCACACGTCTCCAACCCTATCCTAAGGCGAGAGAGCGAGCCAAAAAATGATTTCTAAATGCAACAAGAAATTCCCCAGTTTGACAGCTGAGAACATTTTATTTAAGCTGTTATCTCCTACGCTGAGTGTAGTCGTTCGGCGCTGGCAGCTGCCTCCTCTCGCCTGTCATGCACCTCATGACTCACTGCAGAGGGGGCTTGAACAGGAGGTGGTAGGAGGCAGGGAGAGAAACATCACTTTAAAAGGCAGACACGCAGACCCAGTAAAACCATAGTGCAAAAAAATCCCACGCAAGCAGAACAAGAGAATAAAAGATTTGTTTTCACCAATTTTTGTTTGCCAGCTTGCCTTTCTCCACATCTGAGGAAGGCGGCTCCCATCTCACTAAGCCAAAGACTCTGACATTCACACGCTGTTGTGGGCATCTTTAGGAAATGAATACCACCGTGGCTGGAAGCTGAAATGGATGGCATCTGCTGACGTGCTTCTACCCTCTAAGAAGGGAACATATCAATCATTTAAAAAAAAAATGTAAATCCTTGATTTTTGTGGGAAATGTTGTTTTGCATTGGTGGGTTGATGGTCAGCGTGTCCATAGGCTTGATCCTGGCAGAGATGATAGATCCTGCTCGAAGGCCTCTGCATTAGGCTCTGCGGAGGGGTCTGGACAGGCTGGATCGATGGGCTGAGGCCAACTGTGTGAGGTTCAACAAGGCCAAGTGCTGGGTCCTGCCCTTGGGTCACACCAACCCCACGCAATGCTGCAGGCTTGGGGAGGAAGCTGCCCGGCGGAAAAGGACCTGGGGGTGCTGGTCGACAGCCGGCTGAGCAGGAGCCAGCGATAGGATGAGAGGCAGTGGCCTCAAGTTGTGTCAGGGGAGGTTTAGATTGGATATTAGGAGAAATTTCTTTACTGAAAAAGTGGTCAGGCCTTGGCCCAGGCTGCCCAGGGAGGTGATGGAGTCCCCATTCCTGGAGGTATTTAAAAGATGTATAGATGTGGAGCTTAGGGACATGGTCTAGTGGTGGAATTGACAGTGTCAGGTTAATGGTTGGACCCCATGATTTTGAAGATCTCCAACCTAAACAATTCTATGATTCTATGATTTTCTGAACCATAACGTAGAGTCCTGACATAAATCAATGCAAATGTTGGTCTGTTCACTTACCTGCTGATATCTCCTGCCAGAGCTCTTCTGAGCCCTTCCCGTGCTACCTCACTTTGCTCTTTCCTGCTGGTTCAGTTCTGAGTCCCTCCTTCAAAAACGAGACCTCTCACGCACAGTCCTGAAATCCCTAAAGACGTAAAAGACCTCTCATACACCACCTTTCCAGGGATGTGTTAGTTGTACATGAACTGAGCTAAGCTTGCAGCCTTTCTTTGTTAAGCCTGGCTGTGTCAAGCCCACAGTGTGTGCTTCAGCTCTTGGATGGTGAGGGGACTGGAGCATCTCCACTACGAGGAGAGGTTGAGGGAACTGGGCTTGTTCAGCCTGAAGAAGAGAAGGCTGCGAGGGGACCTTATAAATGCCTACAAATATCTGAAGGGTGGGTGTCAGGAGGATGGGGCCAAGCTCTTTTCAGTGGTGCCCAGTGACAGGACAAGGGGCAATGGGCACAAACTGAAACACAGGAAGTTCCGTCCGAACATGAGGAAGAACTTCTTCCCTCTGAGGGTGACGGAGCACTGGAACAGGCTGCCCAGGGAGGTTGTGGAATCTCCTTCTCTGGAGATATTCAAGACCCGCCTGGACAAGATCCTGTGCAGCCTACTGTAGGTGACCCTGCTTCGGCAGGGGGGTTGGACTAGATGACCCACAGAGGTCCCTTCCAACCCCTACTATTCTGTGATTCTGTGATTCTGTGATTCTGTGATTCTGTGATTCTGTGATTCTGTGAACGACCAGGCAGTGTTCTGGGTGTGCTGTTAGAAACTCCAGGCACGGGAACGTCCAGGGGTCATGCAGATGTTCCTGAGGGCAGGCTGCTTGGCTTGCTCACTTTAGGCTTGAGTGCTTCCAGGTCCCATCCTCCTGCCAGGGGAACACGGGAGCACCAGTGGACTCATCCTGCTTCCCCTCTCTGCAGGTGGTGGCTGTGGAAATCACTCTGCGGTAAGCAGTGGGACCATGGCACTGGCTGACTTGGCAGCGAAATCTCCCGCCTGCGAGGAGCTGGAGGATGCCAGAGGGATGGACTGAAGGAGCCGGGAGGTCCTTCCACATGGAAATTTTATGGCACTTTGAAATCTCTTTGTAGTTTCAAAGCAGCAAAGGCAGGATGGTGCCTTCCCTCTGGGCTGCCACCTCTTGGAAGTCATCGTAGCCATGGCTCAGGAGACGGACTCCCCATGGCGCTCAGGGATGCGAGTTGCATGGACAACAAAACCTAAACCTCATTGTTGCTGAGAAAAGTCAAAACGTTTCAACATTTCCTATGCTTACACAAAACTACTGTGTGCAAAGGCAGAAGTCTGCATGTAGAATTTCAGGTTTTAATTATGCATTGCGTTCACCCTGCAGTCCCCAACGTCTGTCCTACAGGAAAGCTGAGTTTTGGTGGTGGAAACCTTCTAACACATCAACCTCTGTGAGCACTTCGAAGAGTTCAAATTGACTTTCACAACTGAGACAGTTTCTTGAATAGGGATTTATTTGAATATTTAACAACCATTAAGCCTGAAAAGTAGAAGGTATAGAGTGGGAATTCGACTGTGCACAATGATGTCTTGAGCAAGGTCTTCAACAAGTGAAAATTAGATAGTTTGCCTGATGTGAATTAACCTACGCAGCCATATAGAGCCACTAGTGTTTGGCTGTTTTATATTTTATTTGAAGCACACTACAGATCCGGGAACTCCAAGTTTTGAAAGAGGCTGTTGTCATTATTAACATAATTAAAATGATCAGACACTAAATAAAAGGATAAAGGCACAGTTGAGGAGTAAAGAGAATCTACAGGAGAGAGAAGAAATGGAAGATGTTCTATGTTCTTCAGTAAATAGGATCTGACCAACCTCAGCAAAGACCCCCTAGGACACTGGGCTTGGCCTTCTCCATCTCTTTGCAGAGCCAGAACTAACCTCAGGTTGGGCAGAAAGGAAGAGAAAATGCAACTAGCAGTAGGAAGCTGGTTTGATGAGGATGGCAGAAGCTTTGCAGTTCCCGCTGCACAGGCTGCCCCACGTTATGGCCCCCTTGACGTTCAGCCGTGCAGAGTAACACGCCGAGTACCACCACGCACCCCCGTAGCTGGAGGCACAGTTGCTGCTGGAAGTGTCCTGATCCTGATCTTTGGCTGAGAACTTCATGTTATCGTGCACGGTAGAAGCCCTGTTTGAGGTCATGGCATCCCCTGCCAGCCCCGAGTACGTTCCCAGCCGCAGCCGGTAGCCCTGGGACTCATTTTCCACACCGAACAGGTTGTAATCGGCGAACTTGATTCTGTTTGAGGCATCCCAGATGACAAACCTGGCCTGGTAGACCTTCTGCTTGGAGATCTGATGGATGTACTCGGTGCCCAGCCAGTACTCGGTGCGCACGTTCCCAAAGCCGTTCTTGTAGGTGCTCCAGGACTCGGCCCAGGTGATCTCCGTGCTCTGCCGGTTCCTCTGGATGACCGTCCAGCCCCCGTCCGTCACGTTCATCTCGCAGTACACCACGATGGGGTGCAGCCCTGCGGGCTGGATGACGTAGACACCGCTGGGGCTGCCACGGGGGACTTCGCTGCAGTCCTTGGGCCAGCCTGGGGCAGGGGAGAGGGTGATTTAATAAGACTCTGTGCAACCCAGCTGTGTTTCACCCCATGGCAGGATAGAGGGGCAACTGGTCAGAGTACCTGGGGAATA